ACACACACACGCACACACGCACGCACACACACACACACACACACACACACACACACACACACACACACAGATAAACACACACAAATTCTTACGTGCAGTTGAGATGGAAATGGTCTAAGACGGCCATCTATATGGGGAGGAGAAAAGTGGGCGTCTAAGACATGTGACCGACTTACACAGTGTCATTTCAATGAAACAAAAACAAAACAAAAAAAACTGAAGGGGGGGGAATAGGAAGTGTCCGTTTCTACATGTGGTTGTCGTATACAGGTTGCGTTAGAGCAGGTTCGATTGAAAATCAGTTCGCTGTGTACGTCAGGTTCGCTGTTTTCGAGTTAGACAGTACACATAACATATTAGATAGATAGATAGATAGATAGATAGATAGATAGATAGATAGATAGATAGATAGAACATGGCTATAGCGGGATATTTAATTGGTTTCAGATGAAAAATGCTGCTGTAGGCGAGTTCCCGCTAAGTTGGTTATCTCGGCCTTTGATTCGAGTGAGAAGCATTTCCTTTTGTCTTTGTTGGAAGCCATCTTTTCCTCGGCCTCGTTGCCTGTGCTATCTATCGTACCGGCAGGCCAACGCGTGCGTATGCCTATGAGCATCAACGATTGCAATTAAGGAGTCACATACTACACGGTTTCTTAGGAGACTGCTAAGAGTATCATGGAAGGAAAAGAAATCAAATGAGGTAGTGCTTGATGAAGCCAACGTGGGACGCTCAATGTTACAAACAATCAGGAAACGACAAATGCAGTTTTTGGGACACATAAACAGGCATAAGGGTCATGAACATCTTGCTCTCACTGGCAAAACTGAGGACAAGCGAGGCAGGGGAAGGCCCAGAACAACATACTTAGGGAACCTAAACAAATGGGTAACAGGGAAAAATCAGGAAAACGTAGCTTTTTTTAGAGCATCCGAGCAAAGGAATGAATGGAGAACCATGATCGCCGATGTCTGTCGCAGATCTGGCACTTGATGATGATGATACTTCACGCTCTCGTCTTTTTTTACTTTTTGACCTAGCCTAAGCCTAGGACAATGGCCTATACGCTCTCATACGGAACATCACTTTTGGAGTGGCTCACATAAACGTGTCTCTCCGCACCATCTCTCTTTGCTGCCTGCCCCACCTCACTCATCACTGGACTGGCCAATCACAACGACGCACCGCTGAAGTGATTGCCTGTTTGGAGCCCGCCCTTTTTTTTACCATCAGACAGAACTCGCTCGATCTCTCCCGCTGTATCCGAGTTCGGGCCTTTCCTTGCTCCGCTAAACCCCGAGCACAGGTAAGAGAATTTACATACAGAAAAAAGGGGGATTCCGGTAAGGTCCCGCTGCAGCGGGTGCCGCTGTAGTCGTGTTCTATAGATAGATAGATAGATAGATAGATAGATAGATAGATAGATAGATAGATAGATAGATAGATAGATAGATAGATAGATAGATAGA